TTAAAATGACATTGGACTTTTCATCCCAGTATTTTGATTCATCACTTACCAACTAATATTTAAACAAAATAATCTTGCAGTAAAAAAAAAAAAAAGCAATTTGAGAGGATTCTAAGAGTTACTTTTATTTTGTATAATATCATGCAATTAATACTTCATATTGGTGTAATTCAATTATAAGTACTAGATTTTGAAATAATATTCTATTGAATCATTGAAAGCATGCTTAATTTCTTGCCATCAGTTCAGTTTCTGCCCTGAGTCCTCCTGCTGCTTAAAAATATATACAAAACCATGTGTGAAACAGTTGTCTTCAACATTTTGTTAAATATAAATAGTGTTTTTTAGAAAATCCTTTTAAAGCTGTAATCTGACATAATTTCTAATCTTTAAACTTCTTTAAGTAACAGTAATAATATTTGGTTACCTACAGTAATTTTGTAAGGATTCATTAGTCTTCTAAAGTGCTTTGATAGATTAAAATGAAAGACCCATTTAGTGTGAACTTCTCTATCAGTTTCAATAATAATGTAATTAAATATCAAATGGCAGTTTGCTTTGCATTACACTAAAACATGTTTGCCATTGGTACTACTACTTAACTTTTTGCTCTGCTCTACTAGTTTTTATTTTTTAACCATTTAAATTAATGCTATTAAACATTTTGTAGTAAAATGCCAATGGAGAGCACTATTTAAATCTGTTAGAGACAGGCTGGGTGAGGTGGCTCACACCTGTAATCCCAGCACTTTGGGAGGCCGAGGTGGGCAGATCACTTCAGGTCAGGAGTTTGAGACCAACATGGTCAACATGGTTAAAAACCTGTTTCTACTAAAAATACAAAAATCAGCCAGATGTGGTGGTGGGCACCTGTAATCCCAGCTACTCCGGAGGCTGAGGCAAGAGAATCGCTTGAATCTGGGAGACAGAGTTTGCAGTGAGCCAAGACTGCACCACTGCACTTCAGCTGGGGCAACAGAGTGACACTCTGTCTCAAATAAATACATACATACATACATACATACATATATCTGTTAGAGAAACAGATATATTTCAATTTACCTAACATGGCAGTATTTGTTCTAAGTATGATTTCATCCAAATACATTATTACAGAAAGCAAACTTGCTAGTCTAATTTTATAGTGATCTGACAATAGTCATCTGATAACTAATGATGGGCACTTCCTGTTTACTGTCTAGTTTAGAAATATCCTCGAGAAACAGAAATCTCTTGAAATCTTTTTCTAAGAGACAGCTTCTCCTTTGTCATTTGACCTGAAAGAAGAGCTCACTGATACTGGCAGGACTGACATACATGAATTCTGCTTGCTTTCGTTAATTGACAACTGGGTGACACTAACATTTCCTTGATATTCCTTACCCAAGCAGCTGGGGCTCTTCACATTTAACTAACTTTCCTCAACAGGAGATATATCCCACTGACATACCAAATTCAAATTAAATTGTTTATACTTCCAAGAGAAACAAATGTCAAGACAGTTTCTATACTATGTAAAGAAAGATGTGGTTTATTTAACTTTGAAGACTTTCTCCCTTTTAGAGGAAACGTATAAACTAGTATTTTGAACCTGTTCAAAGGAACGGCAATTGTATTGACTAACATGAACTAACATCAAGGTTTCATCAAACATATTTGCCCATATAAAATTATCTAATTCTGGCAAGTAGTTTTAACTTCCTCTATCAGTTAGCATTGAGTTTGGCTACATATAAAATAAACTTATGACATTTTTTAATAAAAAACCAAGGTAGAAGTTTATCTTTCTTCTCATGTAAAAGAAGTCCAGAAGTAGAAAGTCTACATTTGGAAAGACAGTTTCACAGTTGCGAGCGATCCAAGCTCCTCTTATCTGCTTTGCCAGTGTTAAGCGAATGACCTCCATTCTCAAAACCTCATGGTCTAAAATAGGTTGCTGGAGTTAAGTCTATCCCATCCAAATTCCGGGGAGTAGGAAAGAAGGAGATATAAAACACAAAAGTGTCCACTGCCAAGCTAAGTTGACTTCCTTTAAGCCGGCTTCCCAGAATTCCATGCAACACTTACACTTACATATCTTTGGCTAGAACTTAATCCCATGGTTCTACCTAACTGCACAGAATGCTGGGGAATGGGCTAGGTGCTGTGGCTCATGCCTGTAATCCCAGCACTTTGGGAGGCCAAGTTGGGCGGACTACTTGAGGTTAGGAGTTTGAGACCAGCCTGGCCAGCATAGTGAAACCTGGTCCCTGCATAAAAATACAAAAATTAGCCGGGCATGGGGGCCCGTACCTATAATCGCAGCTCCTTGGAAGGCTGAGGCAGGTGAATTGCTCGAACCCAGGGGGTGGAGGTTGCAGTAAGCCAAGATTCTGCCACTGCATTCCACCATGGGCGACAGAGCGAGACTCCGTCTCAAAAAGAAAAGAAAAAAAAAAAAAGAATTCTGGGGAATGGATTTGCTTATCTGGGCACATTACACTCCAGAATACAATCAGGAGTCTATTCCTACAAAGAAGAGAAGAGATATTGGGTGAAAATTCATAGTCTGTGTCATATCTATTATGTTACACTTGGTGATTTTGTGAGAAATGTCATGCAGCCATGAAAAATAATGAATGAGAACTCTGCCAATTGACTTTGGGGAGATGTGTGTAGGGATTTCTACAGGATTGTTAGGTGAGAAAAGCAAATGTATAGAATTGTAAAATATGATTCAATTTTGCATAACAGAGTATCTCTACATAAATATTAAATTGTATATATATGTATATGATATATCAATATGTGAATATGGAAACATTGCAGAGAGATACATAATAGATCATCAAGGTGTTATCTGGGAAGGGGAGAAGAAATTACTATCTTCGTGTTGTTCCACTTGTTTTAAGAGGCATATGTTATTTTTGTAATTTGAAATACATAAAGTTTTTTGTTATTTTATTTTATTTTAAAGATTGTTTAAAAAGGTGACAGCCTCCATATCTGACCTTCATAACACCTTCTGACATATATGAAATTTCGCAGTAAGGCATTCCATGACAGCGCCTGTCCTAGAGGATCTTAACGAAGAACCTCATAGGACCTCAACACAAAGTGCTTTACCTAAGTTGTCTTAAAATATTTATTTAGCTAAATTATTTATTTAGACAGTATGTTAGATAATGTCAGGAAGAAATTTTTTTTTTTTTTGAGCTAATGAATGTTAACAAATGTTTATAAATATTTAGGTATGAATATAAGGCAGAATACTACAATAGATATGTTAGCTAAATTGTCTAACATTTATGAAATTAAACAAAATTTTACTAACATTGATGAAATTCAACAAAGTAACCTTTATGAATTATGTTTAATGTTTACCTCTTTAATTCCATTTAGGCCATGAATCTTTCATGAGAAAGTCCTATTTGGGAATTAGTCACACATTTCAAAAATAAATTATTCTCATGTCAACTTGGCTTCATCAAAATTTCATGAAGAAAAAAACTTCAAAATCATGTACAACAGCATAATATTGTAAAACTATATTTGATCCAGACATAATAAAATGAAGAACATAAAAAATAAAGAAAAATAAATTAATCGCCTGCTTACTCCAGCTGAATGTGGATTTCTATTTGGCATGGAAAATGGCCAGTGGACTGACCTGAGAAAAAAGCTAAAAGCCAGCAATGCTGTTATGAATTATTGTTCCTTCAGTATAAAGTCAAAAATTTTTCAACGAATATTAAATATTTTAATAATGACATAATTTTCAAAATAAAATTTCAGATTTAAATTTATATTCAAATAGTTTATTCAATAATGGCAGTATTTGTCTTCCGCCTTGGTTGTGGCTAAATATTGATTTTCCATTACAGATCATTTGGCATCTAAACAAAAGTATATTAAGTGGACCAATTAATAAAAATATCTTATTGACTAAACGATGCTTTATTACAAAAAAGGTCCTTCAGGAACACTAATGAGCATAATAATGACTTGGGGAGATGGTAATAAATGTCACTTCCTCTCTGAACAGTACCCCTCTCCCTCAATACTTATTCTGAATCAGAAATGGGCATTTTAAACAAGCACACGAAGCTTTTTCTGCATATCTCAGGACCATGTTTTGAGAAACACTGCCATAATACAAAACTCTATTTTTTTTTTTTTCTCATTTCGTCTTTTTTTAATTTAGTAGAGACAGGGGCTCCCTATGTTGCCCAGGCTGGTTTCAAACTCCTGGGCTCAAGTGATCCTCCTGCCACGGGCTCCCAAAGTTCTGGTATTACAGGCATAAGCCACCACGCCCCGCCGAAAACTTTGTTTTAAACTTGATAATCACCATTATAGACCATCTTCATGTTTTCATAATAAAGATAGGGTGCAAACTGGCACTGTCATATACATGGAGCTTGGGGGGGAAAATGTGCTGTAGTTTGGTAAATTAAAAAACAACAACAAAAAACTAAGATAAGACTAAAATCCCTAGTGCTGCACCACATTTTTCTTAGTACAGAAAAGTGGCCAAGGAGCTGGTAGATAAATCCGAGACTATTTAAGAAAAAATGTTTTAACTGTTTTGCAAGACTCAGGTGGTATCTCGTTTCTCTGTCTGTGGTAGGCGCATAGTTGGAGTAGAGAGTTGGCATACAGGGATAAAAAGAGGATTCAAATTGAAAAGTACTGAGCAATTACACTCAAAGACCATGAATCCAACCCTGCAAAAGTTTTCATGGCTTCCAATTCCTAAATTTATTTTAAGTTTAAATGAAAGCAACCATCTAAGTGATGTGCTGGGACTCAGGGCAGGGCTAACATTATAGATCTTAGTTCCAATTTCATAAACCTATATATTGAAATAAAACCCCAAATGCAAACAATGCATTCAATCACGTTGTAAATCATTTTCTGTGCTGGTTCTTTCGATCTTTAGCCAAAACTAGATCTGGGACAGATTCCAGGCCAGGACAAAAATGCAAAATTCCATACTCCCCATTCTTTGATTATTTTGCCTTGAAGTAGAGACTCGACAGTTAGCCATGGGAGAACTTGAAATTTTCTGATTCATTCTCCTCATTAATCAAATTGACCAAGTAATTTTTAAACCTTTAGTCAGCTTTGTGCCTTCCTGTTACTGGCCCAGTATGTAGTCTTCCTATGTCAGAGACTCTAGCCATAAAAAGAGTCCTTGAAACTCATCTAGACCTATAACCAGTTTGACAGTGAGGAAGTTGAACCCAGCTTTCTTGGGGAGTTGCCCAAGATCAAACGGCTTGGGTTTCTGGCAGAACCAGGACTCAAGGTTAGGAATTCTGACTCTAGGCAAACGAAGCTCTTGAGAGTTCTTTCAAAACACTCCGTGCGAATGATTTAGGATAGTCCTAAGGCAGGAGGAAATACAAAATGGTGGCACCCCTTGCCCTGACAAATGGTTCCTGAGTGACATTAGTTTCTATGGTGGTGTAGCAAGAACATTTGGACTTCAGGCACGAAAAATGTGTTCCAAACACTAACAAACTACGTGCTCTTCGTGAACGAGCTTAATTTCTTTATGGGAAAGCAGCCAGTACAAACCTCCCCACTCATAGCTATCCAATATATCATTTCCTTCTTTCACTTGGGAATTATAAACATTCAAGGGAATAATGTAAGGTAAATCACTTAGGACAGTGTCTGGAACATATTAAGGTTCAATATTATCACTGACTACTACGATACTGTCAGTCTTTCAGAGAAGCTCTTGATACGTGTCTCTGAATCGTAGGTAACACACTAAATGTATTCTGTAATTTTCTTCTACCGTGGCCCCAGACTGCGCATGTGCGCCCCCATGCGGAATCGCTCAACCCAGCGATTTTCCCGCGTACGCATAAGTTCCGCCCTAGGACCGCCCCTTTAAGCGCGGGCACCGCGGTGGAAGCGCGCGCTAGTCTGGACATGACGTAAGCCAGTGGGCAGGCCCGGAAGACAGGGGCGTTTGCTTCCGGCGCCAAAGGCACTTCATTTCCGGGCGAAACTAGCATAGAGGGTACTGGGTTGTCCGTGAGGGCGTTTGCTGATGCTTCCTGGTCCGGTGGCCTCGGTCCCGGTAAGCCAGGCATGAAGATCACAAGGCAGAAACATGCCAAGAAGTATCTTGGCTTCTTCCGCAACAATTTCGGAGTCCGCGAGCCGTACCAGATCCTGCTGGACGGCACCTTCTGTCAGGCGGCGCTGCGGGGCCGCATCCAGCTGCGGGAGCAGCTGCCCCGCTACCTCATGGGGGAGACACAGCTGTGCACCACAAGGTGGGCCCGGGGGGCCGGGGAGGAGGCAAAGGGGATCCGTCGGGTGTTGTAGAGACGAGGCCATTGCCCACAGACCTTCACTGAGAGCTCAGGAGGGGCAAAACGCCCCGCCCACGTGGAGTTGACAGTTAAGTGGAGAGGTGAAGGTGGTCCGGCGAATACCTATAATAGAGGCAGATTGGACAGTGCCCTGTGAATATCACGTGTCGTTAGCCTGGTGAATGAGAGCACATTATAGCAGAAAGATCTGACTTCGAATGTTAATCCCAGTCCTACCAGCTCTGTGATTATATAGCCTCTCTGAGCCTCGGATTCCTCATTTGTAAAATAGAGATCGTAACTGCTTGTAAGATCGCTGTAAGCTCAAAGGAGTATAGCGTACTAGAGCGTTTTTCGGTATCCAAAGTGTACCCCTTTTCAAATGGTTGCCGTCATTTGCATAACATTTCTTAGTTTAAACCAAAACTCTTCAAGCCTCACAGTGAACCTATGAGTTACCATCTTTGATGTCCAAGGCAAAAAGTCAGTACTTGAGATTAAGGAATCTGCACAAGGACATTTGTTTATTCAACTGGTTTTATTAAGTACCCCCTATATGCCACACACTGCTCCCTCATGGTCAGTAAAGTGCATAGGTCAGTCTGCAGTGGATGTGTTTTCACTCTAGGTCTGATGTTTCCCCACTTCATTGAAATGTGGGATGGAAGCTTGTGGGGATGAAGAGTGGGGAGGAGAGAATTGTGACAAATTTCAGATAACATTTGAGCCCATTCACTTGTTCAATTCTGAGGGGAAGAACTATTTTGAATGACAGAAGAGAATGACACTTCTTCTTGTGGAGACCTCTTCACACAGAATGGAGTTGTGAAATGCCTGGGAAAGAGGTTGCAGCACAGAATATATTTGAGAATGAAACTAGGAAGAAGGCAAATTGAGGCTAGACCATGAAGAACTATTAAGAAATTTAGTAGTTTTTTCATTGTAGAATATTTACTTTTTAAAAAGCAAAAAAAGAAAATTAAAATGAGTCATAATGCCACTACTCACGAATAATCACTGTTAACATGTGCAGTGTCATCCATCCAGTTTTTTATACACACTCACACAAGCACAAGAATGGACTTTTAAGCCAGGCAAGGTGGCTCACACTTGTAATCCCAGCTACACAGGAGGCTGAGACAGGAGGGTTGCCTGAGTCTAGGAGTTTGAGGTAAGCCTGAGCAACATAGGGAAACCCCCATCTCTAACTACAACCATAACAACGTATGGGCTTTTTCTGTGTATACAGTGTTAATAGTCTCCTTTTCTCACATACCACTACTTAATGAACAGCTTTCTGTATTTGTTCAGAATTTCTCAAGCAGTGTCTCAGCTGGGTTACAGATACCCCCAAAGTTTTGATCCTCTTAGTCTTTAGGGCTAACAAATCCTTCAGTAGTCTTTGCCCCTCAATTGATTGCTTTTGTCTACAAGCAATTTGTCCATATACTCCTGTGTGCCATAGAAATATTAACATTTTAAATACAGTGCTATGATATTAAAAGGGTTGAGAAGTGCCACATAAAATTATGTTCTACAGCAATTTTTCTAACAAATTTATTTTAACTCTGGAATTTTTCAGACAACTCAAAAGTAGAATAATATAATGAAATCTCTCTCCAGCTTTTGCAGTTACTAACATGGCCAATCTTGTTGAATCCCTCACCTCTCCTTACTGATGGGTTACTTTGGAGTGTATTATTCTATCAGTTCTTTGGCATGTATCTTGAAAAGAGAAAGAAGCCTTTTAAAAATCAGGATTCAAACTAAATACATATATTACATTTGATTTATATGTCGCTTATGTTTTTTTTTAAAAATTATTTTTGAGATGGAGTCTCACTTTATTGCCCAGGCTGGAGTGCAGTGGTGCAGTCATGGCTAACTGCAGCCTCCGCCTCCCGAGTTCAAGTGATTCTCCTGCATCAGCCTCCCAAGTAGCTGAGATTACAGATGTGTGACACCATGCCCTACTAATTTTTCTATTTTTTAGCAGAGACAGAATTGCACCATGTTGGCCAGGCAGGTCTTGAACTCCTGACCGCAGGTGATCCACCCATCTCGGCCCCTCAAAGCGAAGGGATTACAGACCTGAGCCATCACGCCAGGCAGTTTTTAAGTATATTAACAGTTTTCTCTCCCTTTACATGTTGCAATTTATGTTTTTAAGAAATCAGGTCGTTCGTTTTTCAGTGGAATATATTCTTTAGCCACTAGTAGTTAGGTCTCTACAGAGGTAGAAGGTTTGAAGATATGTGGAGTTAACTGATGAAGTAGAACAGGAGAATGTCATCAGGCCTGGGTTTTATTTTAGAAAAGGTAACTGCAGTGATGTGAAGGGTAAATAGGAGAAACAGGAGAGCAAAGGCATGAATTGCGGTTGTTCAATCAAGAAGTAAGGGGAACCTAAACCTGGGAGAGGAAAGGCAGGAACCCAAGGGTTCTCCAAAGAAACGTTACGTTACTGAGATAGATAGGTCGAGCAACTGATGGCGTAGGAGTATGGGTGAAGAAGGGCAGGAAGGTCAAATGTGATTTCTGATTTCTGTCTAGGGTGTCTGGAAAAATAATAATTTCAAAGAGATAGCAAGTCTTGGAGGATAAATTTGGATGCAGGAAAGTGGTTTGATCTTAGACATGGTGAATTTGAAGAGTTGATGGCGGGATGCCCACAGGCTGGCAGTACTCAAAATAGAGGTCAAGCCTAATGACTAAAGCAGCAAAATCTTAAAACAGAAAGATGATAAAGGAGATGAGGCGAGAAAGAATCTGGCAAAGGCTGGCTAGGGTCAAGGAACTCTTATGACTAAATGTTTTTTTAAAAACAACTTGATGACATGAGAAGTTTTACTGTTCTGAATTGAAAATATTTTGAAAGTGTACCAATTTGTACTTGAAGCAGAAGCTTATTACGCTATGGTTGGGACAAGGGAGCTGTTGTCAAACTACGAGTCTCAGTACCACTTACTAGTTACTTGAACTTTGGCATGTGACTTGAAATCTCAGAATGAGGTGCTCTAAAATAAGGATAATTTCAAGGTAAGCAACCTAACTTCGTAGGGTTATTTTGAGATTAAGCAAGAATTATGTGAAGAGCAATTTGCATGCTGCATGGAGCATAATAAGTGCTCAGTAAATTTTAACTGTTGTTCTTCCTACTTGGTAAATGCATTTTTCAAGTCATCTTTTAAAGTAAATGGTTACCAGGTGACAAATTTAGATTGTAACAGCATAGTTTTATTTTAACAAAAAAATTGACTATTGTTTTTTACACTTTATGTAAACAACTGAAATGTATCTGCTGTAATTTTTATTTTCAGGTGTGTATTAAAAGAGTTAGAAACGTTGGGAAATGACTTATATGGGGCAAAATTGATTGCACAAAAATGCCAAGTTCGAAATTGTCCTCATTTCAAGAATGCAGTGAGCGGATCAGAATGTCTGCTTTCTATGGTTGAAGAGGGAAATCCTCATCATTATTTTGTGGCAACACAGGTGATACTACTTTTAAAACCACAGGCAATTTTAACCATTTCTATTTATACTTCATATGCAGCTATTTATAATCAGAAAAAAGTTAGAGTGATTAGACGTTTAAAAATACAGGCTTCTAAGTTAATTTGCAGTCAGTAAAAGCAATTGTCATTTGATAATTTGAGGAAAACTTTAAGCATGTGATATTCTTTTTAGTAGTGGAAGGTTGGTTTTTTGTTTTTAAATGATTCCTTTGTTTTGCTTTTTTTGTTTGCTTGTTTCTTGAGACTTTGAGGGTCTCACTATGTTAGCTAGGCTGGTCTCGAACCCCTGGGCTAAAGTGATCCTTCCTCCACCTCAGCTCCTGAGTACCTGGGATTACAGGTGTTTGCCATCATGCTGGACACTGGCAGAAGTTTCTTTTTTTAAGACGAGAAATTGTTGACATGAGATGTGATGATTTGTTGTAGGATTCTTGAAGGGAAGATAAGTAGAGCAAAGTTCCTATATTCTGTTAATGTTTGTTCATATTCCTGGATTTCATACTGTTTCTCAAAGTCATGGTTCATACTGCTTAAGACTGTACCAACACTATGAAATATTTCAGGCTTTTAAAGAAAAACATTCCCATCTTATTGAAGGCAGGAGAAGAGAGACTTTCGGGGGTGATATTAAGTTCACATACATACAGATTTGATTATCAGAATTATAAAATTACACAGAGGCAGAGCTGAATTTAGAATCTGAGTAGCTAATTACTACACACTTTCTTTTCCTTTAACCTCTTCAAGCATTCTTGACCCTTTCCAAAGAATATCTTAGAGTGGAAACAGGAGAAACCCACCTAACACATTTACCTTTGCATTAGTTTGTAATTTGTGGCTCTAGAGTATCAGTAAATCCAATTCACACAGCTGCTACTAACACTGTGCTCAGATTTTATGTTTTTCTTC